GCACAGTACGTTGAACTTTGAAGCAGATGGGCTTCAGCAGCAGAAGACCACACCGGGTGCCACTCCTTTCAGCTAAGAACAGGAAACTGAGGCTACAATTTGCACAAGCTCATGCACGAGCTCACAAGCTCATACAATTTGCACAAGGTCATTCACCGAGTGACAGCGCGCAGGAGCGCTGCGGGCGCACGTGTGTGTGGTGAAGGGAGGGTGTGAGGGCAATATTATTATTAATAATGTTAATACTGTTGCCATTATAGCTGTACACTTAATAAGTAGTGCAACCAAGGGCGACAAATGAAGCATAAAAAATAAAATATAATAAAAGCGGGTTCGACAGGGGCACTTGATGGTCTGGAGGGAAAAGGGCAGGTGCTCAAGCACCACCTGACGTCTATCTGTGCACGTCCGTGCTCCACAATGTCCGTGCTCCACAATGTCTTACTAAATGTCCATTTGGGGCTAGAATGTGACGATAATTAGTCAACACTAAATTACCACAGAAAGCTGCTTAAAAAAGCCTTCAACACAGTCAGTGTTGGATGTGTGGGAGCCACAACACATCACTAACAGATCCCGAGACAAGACCTCAGGGGAGCTGTCTGACAAGTGCATCTTTCCTTTCAAACATGATAAAAATAGATATCTGAGAAGTTGTCAAACAGAGATGTTCAGTATGAAGATGCATCTGAAAGCAGCTGCAGTCCTGAGGGAAACATCTATTTCTGGCCTGGCCACAGTCTAACAATAAAATTAGCACAGTGTTAAAAAAAAGCAGCTAGACAGAGCAAAGGGTGTGTTTTACATTTACTCAGTCAGTTGACGACTTGCTGCAGTGATGCGTGAATGGAGGATGCATATTAAAAAGAGAAGAAATAACACCATCTGTGTTTTGACAGAAATCAAGAGTCACACATTTCTGCACAAGTCAGAGGATATTTAAGTTGTGTTGAAGAAAACACTAAAGCACTAACCTTCTTGGTACGCCCCATCTGCCATCACCAAGTGAAGGATGTTGGGGTACAGATGCTGGTGTTCAGTTCCCAAAATGTTCAGTACCAAACTGGAGCCCAGCTCGATGCTCTCATCTTCATCTTCGTGTATAGCCTGGGGACAATATGTGTGTGAGCTTGTGAGATTACAGGATGATTTGTAAGCTTAGAGACCAGAAATGAATAATTCATACCTTAATCTTGTTGTAGGCTTCGATGAACTTTTCAAAACCCATCTGCTGCTCCAGGTTGAAGCGAAGCTCTTCCAGACGACTGAAGATGCTGTCGTGATGGTCAGCCTCGCCCCCCTGGTCCTCTCCACTGCCATCTACAGTGAAGCACATTGTGTTGTTGCTCGGACAAATGGCAATAATTACTGAATGTTATGACAAGTTTTAATTGATTTCATTTCAACATTTTATTTTAAAAAATAACATTTCTGGTAAGACTTGAGACAGATATACAAATATTTAACAATCTTCATAACTTTTCAGTGCAAACAAATACATTATATGAATGTGTGCATGCAATATTATTT